AAAAAAACAGTTTTAAGTAAGTTACAACTGAATATCACTGATTTGAAGATGCATCATAGTTTTAAAATTAATTTTTAAGATTTTCTTATGGGGAGAAAATTTTAAAACATATAATTTTATAACGTTTTGTTATGTAAAAACAGGCTAGAAAAACAACATAAATGTCATAAAGTTACTACCAATTCCATGTTCTTCTGTGTATACAATAACTTTTTCAATTTTTAGCCGAATCGTAACACTGTCTCAAAGGCATTTGAAATGTTGACACAGCCATCAAAATATAGCAGAAAATCCAATGAATAATGCACAATGCATGCTATTCATGATGACTGACAATTGCTGTTTCTGACTGCAAATGTAAGACACTGTAGATTTTAAGACCTGCCTCCAGTTTGGACAAGTAAAATTATGTAGAAGAGAGTCTCAATAGTCAAGAAACACATTAATTTTTATTACTCACTAATATTTCTAGATAATTCGGCCATCTGGGTGTCTTTTCAACAGTTTCTAAATAATTTAATTATAACAATAATTCAAAAATAATGACTAAAATGTTAAAGATTTTTGCTGGAGAATATTGCACGTTCACATTTATTGTACTAGAAGTGACATCAGTTAATCTTAATGTTTGTGTACACAAAAAAAATACTGTAAGTGATTTTATTACTCAAGAGATTATTTCATCTCCACCACATTAAAAAAAATCAATTACTTTTCTCAAATTAAAGGAAAGATTTGAATCTCACCATTAACTACCCTTGGTTAATTATTGCCATTGTTTTATAACATTCCGATGCATTCAAATATTAATTATAGGAAAATTTCACTATTTCCAACAATATATTTAAAAAGTGGATTTAATGTAAGGTCAAATAAAAAACATTTCATTATCTTAATACCTGAAAAAAATTAATTACTTACCTTTACATTTATTGGTATTTTTATCCAGTATTGCTTTAGTTGATATTATATTTCCATATCTGAAAAAGAAAAAAATTTAATATAAATTAATAACTGCAATTTTATAAAAATTATTTAAAATTTACAATCTGAAATGGTTACAACTAGGCAACTATGAATTAAAAATATCGCATAAATTACATTAGAGTATTAAAGGATAAAGTATTAAATTTATGCAATTCACAACACTCAATGCAATTCTCGCTAAGCATCACAAAATTATCATCAGATACAGTTTGCTGATAAAATTTATAAATTTAATTTTCAAAATTATAAGTTTGACTTAAAACCAAAATTAATTAATAAAACACAATTATGGAAATTTTGTGGGATTAGTTTCATTTTGTTATACTTTTCTATTTATTGTATGAAAAATTGTGACTTTTTATTACTTATCTCATCACACAAATTTTTTAGTTCAGTTGAGTACATACATTATATACACTGGGATAAACTCCATAATTTAAATTAATTTTCAGCATAATTCTAGTACAAAATTAATGACTTAAATATGTTTGACTATTAGTTAACCCACCTTTATTTCGTGTTATCAGTCAGTACTTTTCTAGATATATATCAAACATGATCGTTGATTTAAAACTGCATTTATTTATTCTCTAGCTTTAAAAGCTGAAGCTACTATCACTTAAATATATAAAGTACTTATATCTTAAACCAAACCTTTTGTAACAAGCTCCAAGCATTTACTTCTATGTGAATACAGCAGTAACTTGGCTCTAATGTGCACCACAGTTTAAAATTAATTTTAAGATTTTCTTTTATAAAAATAGGTTTCCAATTCAATTCATTTTAAGTTTTGTTAAATAATAACAAGATAGAAAAACTATAAAAATGTCACAAAATATATAATGTTTTATGGCTCTATTTCAACACTGTGTATAAATAATTTAATACCACACCTTAAAAGACATTTTAAAGCTTATTTAAGCTGATCTGCCCATTGAGCATTATGGCAAAAAAATGCCTATTATTAGTGCATAATGCATATTCGATCCATCCACGACGACTTCCAATTGAATAGTGGATATAAGATGCTGCGCACTAAGATGCATTTCTGTTTAATCCATTTTTACTTGTCATCTTAGAATTGAGGAAACATAGTACACATTTAGCCACATTATTCTGAATCAACTAGGCTTCATTCATTTATCATATGCCCGAAATGTCTTTATTAGACAAAAACATATAATGGTAATGCTCCTTAGAAAGAACATTCAGAGTTAATTTTCTTTAACTACTTGCTTTGATGATATAAATTCCACTTAAAAAAAATATATAAATCAAATTCAATCTAACTATGAGTATCTATTGAAGAGTTTTTGAAACAATTCAGGATTATGACAACAGAAAAGACTTTACATCAGCTAATAAAATAATTGGAAAACTTAAATGTTAGCATGCATAATGAACTTAATGATTTAATTTTGGAAATTAAATCAATAATTTTTCAACAAACTGCATTTAACTTATGAATATATAGAAGTGTAACAAATAAGGAGAAAAATATTTTATTAAGAAATTACCATGAATACAGAGATTATCTTTTAAAAAAACTTTCATTTACATAGATAAAAACTGCGTTTTTGAAGGAGATACTTACCAAATGATACTATCTGATCGACAAGAGAACAATTTAGAAGAAAGATATGATCTAAACAAAGAATATAGAGCAAATGAAGTTAACGAGACAGTCGCAGGAAAGCGTATGCTCTCAGTCCGTTAACACCTTAATTGGATCCAAAGCCCATAGTGGACTCAAGATAAAACATTTCTATATAACTCGGCCTTTTAAACCACAAAGAAAATGCTGAAGTCCATCTGTTGAAGACAATGATATTTAAAATTATCTAAACTTTGCTTGCTTGGATTTTGTTTTATTATTTAACATCTATATATCATTTTAATTCAACAAGATATGAAGCAAAACAAGCAAATTTTAAAACAAAATAAAATTTTTGATGACATTTTCAGTAATTTCAAAGAAACAGAATAAACAACTTTTTTTTTAATATTTATTTTTTAAAATAAATATTAAATGTAGAGAACCATGAAGAATTATATATTTATAAGATCCTGCATACAAATTTAAAATAATATTGTTATTTATAAACAATACTTGAATTTAAATCATTTATAGAGTTTCGTAGGCTTGGTTCTGTATTAAAATGAATAGTAACAATATTTTTATGCAGATAAGCATTCTTCTTGATGTTTAATGAAGGGATTGATAATGCTTAATTTGTCAAAGCTGCCTGGCTTTGGAAACCAGACTTATTTGCATTTAATCAATAGAATTGTCATATTAGATCATTGTAAATGTCAAAGATATTTAAGACATTATAAAAAATACTGTATCTATCCAGTTAAACAAGAATTATCTATACTACTTAAAATAAAACTGAAATGCTTTCCTTACTCTCAATCTACAAAATAGTGTTCCTACGTAAGTTAAATAAGATGTCGGCTAAATGGCAGTAAGCAGTGATTCAATTCAAGAAAGTAAATTTAAAGGAAATAAAATTAAGAAGGCTTATAATTCAAGTCATAAATCTGATCAATCTGGGCGAGTGAAGTTAATAAATAACAAAACAGCTTTTATGTTTTTTCATGTACTACTATAATCATTGTAACTTACTAAGAATGATTTTAAAAATGATTTAGAAACTGATACAATAAAATACTAAATACAAACTGTTGAATTTAGGAAGTTTTCAAATTCTATTGCATTTGAAAAGTTTTATTTTTTTAGTGATTGATTGAGAAATATTTTATAAATTTAGAAAACTAACTAATAATAAACATCACTATAGCATGTAATGAAGAGGAGCTAAAGCCAAAATGCATGCATGTTAAGAATGGTAATAATATATATATATTGGATGATATTCTCACCTGCTCATTCTGTCATTCAGAAGAAATGTTGCTATTTACATCAGAAATTGAAAAACACGTTATTTAGTTATGAAGTATTTCTGGATCAATCAATACTATAACCTGATCCATAATTAGTAAAATTTATTTTTCAGCTTGTATGAAAACTTTGAAGGTAAAGAAAGAATTAATTTGTACGTAGAATATTTCTGAACTATTAAAAAATTTGTACTCGCTAAACATTTTAAATTCTTTCCCCGCAACAAAAAGATTAACACATTTGCAGTTGTTTATTATATGAGTATCTTGTATGTGGAGTATACTGGGTATAAAAAGTGAGCTGTTACATGTGTATAACAATTACCAAATTAAATATTTTATATTGAGATCGTGACAAACAGTTTTCAATATAGATTAAAAATAGTGTAAAAATAGTGTAAGTACAGTACTCAATCCAATACAAATAGACTTTAATTTTCAATGTTTCTAGACAGATTTCTTAAAAATGACTGATGATGATAAAATATTGAACTAGGCAACTAGTAATTATATTTTAAATTTAAATAATTTTAACGAAATTTTATCCACAAAATGTATCAAACAACAATGCAGAGTTATATCCAATATTTGACAAACAAACAAACAAACACCATCTACATTGATTGTTAAAAAAGGTAATTGCATTCTCTGAAATTAATTTTTGTAATTATTAATTTCCATATTGCTAACTGTAAGGTCAATTAAATTTAAGAATTTTAATTATATTCTTAAGAATAATTGAATGAAATTTGTGGGTTGGCAGTCTATTAAAAAAAACTGAAATAAAAATTGCAATACATATTTAAAATGAAAATTTCACAAATATTTTTCCTTTTACTAAACTATTTTCATTTAAATGTTATTACATAAATTAAAATTCAGTAAATTTAACTGACAGATTTATTGATTGACACAAAGTATCGGCACATTACCAGACTATGCAGTTGGGTTAAGGAAAGACCAACATGCAGAGTGTTTTAACTAGCAATTAGTAGTAGTAGTAGTAGTAGGAACAGGAATGACATCACAATCTGTACTGTCCTATTAGATTATGGGAAAAAATTTTATAAATTTAATTCAAATCTTTATACAAAAACATGTGGACTGAAACATGAGTGACTATTATTATAATGATTGGATTAGAGAGATAGCTTCCAATACGAAAGTATTTCTATATAGGTATTAAATTCAATTTTCCACTAAAATACCTTCAAATATTTAGATTTAATTTAGAATTCTGTCAAATCTTAAATATACAGAAAAGTTTCTCTTGCTTCCAATATAGATACAATTTTTAGAATATTTTAACATATAATTAACGTATAATATTCTGTTGTAAACTGTGTCATACAGCAAGAATTTACACACATTACCTAGTTCAAATTTTTTAAAAATGTATAATGTCAAAATCTAGCAATAAGAAAATGTTGGGTGATATCAAAATTAGCATAAAATAAATAAAATTGTTTTATATTATTTAATAATAATGATAATCATATCATGCTGTTAAAATCCAAATTAATTTTATGGTAACAAAACAATTTCCATCTTAAGGATTAAAAATTGAATTTATTTTTCCATGGACAATGCTTCAGAATAATAGAAATGTCATCAGGAAATTTGTCCAGAACTGAATAAAATATTAGAAAAACAAAAAAGCTTATGAGTATTTACTGTAATTGTTGTTATAACAACTTTTATAAGAAAACAATCTTTATTATATTTTCAAAACTTACGTGGTTCCATACAATTTCACAACATGGGAATAAATCAATAAATTCATTCGACTAACACAAAACAAAAAGTAACAAATTTAACTACAGTAGAGTCCCGCTAGTCCGAACTAATTGGGACCAAGCCCTGTTTGGAATAGCCAAATAATTAAAATAATGCAGAAGCAAGCAGTAAAACAGGTCCAATTTATATAGATCCAACACCATCAATGACTTTTGTTTCTGTTTTTGTGTGTAAGTACAGTGTAATCTGCTGTTTTAATAGGCCATGCCAAACACTGATTTATTAATTTTACACAGTATTAATACAGTACTACAATAATATACAATTTTTTTGTTGTGGAATTCTAAATCGT